TTAAAAGAGTAAGCCTCCTGAAAATTATAATTGCTGATACCTATATTATGGTGTTTGATGCATCTTATCTCATTTGATTCCTATAGCAATCCTGTGAAATGGGCATGGTTACTATTCTCATTTTCCAGACAGTGAAACTGAGGTTTAGACAGGTGAAGTGATCTGCCCATGGTCATCCAGCTAGCTAGATGTCTAAGGGGAGATTCTGACCCCAGTCTTGCTGATTCCATGTCCTGTCCTCTACCCATGACACTATGCAGCCTTATCTGAGGTTTTATCATTTGACAGAAGGGCAGCTTAGGGCACACTGAGCAAAGGCATCAGAAAAAAAAAATAATCAAGAAGCAAAGGTAGTTTTTGTTCCTTTAAACAATTCATTGCAGCTCTTTGCTAAAGTCCTGGTTGGTCAGTTTTGATCAGCACTTTTCTGGACACCAGAATCCTGGCTGTAATCCCTACTAATCTAGTTTATTCCATCTCTAACACCCAAAACCTCTGCTTTTCTTCCCAAAGTGGATTTATTTCCCTTTCATCTCATAGTAGCAAGAGCAGAAAAACACTTCTAATTCATTCACTTGACAGATTAGGAAATTGAGGTCCAGAGAGGGGAAATTATTTTGATCAAGGAGGCCATGCAAGTCCTGTAGGCTCCCAGTTCCAACTCCAGCCACGAATGAATTGATCCAGACTCCCTTCCAAGTCTGGGGAAGTACAGAGGATGAGAGAACAGTAGGAGAGGCTCAATAAGCCATCATCTCTTCCTCCTTTCCTGCCCCTCACCTCAGGCCTGAGTCTTAGGGGAACAGGGCTCCATAGGGGGTGGTTCTACTATTTGAAGGGGAAAAAAAACTCCTCAGTCCAAATGAATAAGAAAGGAGCTAATCTTAATTAAAACAACTCTGAGGTACCACCTCATACCTATCAGATTGACTAATATGATTTAAAATATAAAAAGAAAAATGCTGCATGTTGGAGGAGATGTGGAAAAACTGGATGCATTGTTGGTGAAGTTATGAACTGACCTAACCACTCTAGAAAGCAATTTGGAACTATGTCCAAAGGGCTAAAAAGCTGTGCATACCCTTTGATCCAGCAATACCACTATCAGCTCTGTATCCCAAAGACATCCAAAAATAGGGAAAAGGACCTATTTGCACAAAAAAATATTTATAGCAGCTCTTTTTGTGGTAGCTAAGAATTGGAAATCAAGGGGATGCCCATCAATTAGGGAATGGCTAAATAAGCTGTGGTACATGATTGTAATGGAATATTATTGTGCTATAAGACATGGCAAGCAGGATGATTTCAGAAAAACCTGGAAAGACTTACATGAACTGATGCACAATGAAGTGAACAGAACCAGGAGAACATTGTACACAGTACCAGCAGCATTGTTCAATGAAGAACTCTGAATGACTTAGCTATTGTCAACAATATAATGATCCAAGACAATATCAAAGGACTGATGCTGAAGCATACTATTTGCCTCCAGAAAAAGAACTGATATCATTTGAATACAGACTGACACATGCTATTTTTCACTTTCTTTCATTTTTTTCTCTTATTTGAGACTTGTAGAAAATGACTAATATCGAAATGTTTTACATAATTGCACATGTATAACCTATATCTAATTGCTTACATTTCAGGGAGGGGGGAGGGGAAAGAGAGGGAGGCATAGAATTTGGAACTCAAAACTTTAAATGAAAATGTTAATAAACAAAAAAAAAATAATTTCTTGTCCACCTCCCCCTCTGGAGGAGTCGAGTTTATTGTTAATAATCTGCTGCTAAAAGGGTAACATCTGCTTTGGACAAACAGTAATGAGATTGAAACCCCAGGTGGAGGGAGCCTCTGCAGTAATAAATGACTCGCTGGATGTCTAAATAGTTTTAATTTTTTTGTTGGCAGAAACGGCATGCTCCCACCTCGGGTGGCCCTTTTGCTGGCTCCCTTTGTTTAATGACCGCTATTCATTTCCAGACTGGCAGATGGACTTGGGGCCAGCAGAGGGAAGTGGGAATGAGCAGCCAATGAAGGTGCAGGGGAAGGGGGGAGGGCCCAGGAAGTAAGCACGAGATGAGGCTGCTGGTCACCGGAGGAGCCCTGGGTCTTCTCTATCTTCAGGTGACAGACTGTCCCAGGGGGTGCTGGAGCCCAGGAAGGAGTTCCTGCCCAGGCCAGGAGCCACAGCAACACTGGGGTCCATTCTGGGAGTGGTGAACACTAGGGAGGGGGAAGGATGGCTGGGGAGGGGTGTCCTCTGGTTCAGGATCTAGCATGCCCAGCATATGACCATGGCACTTCCCTACTCAGTAAACTCCAATGACTCCCTATTGCTTCTAGGATAAACTATAACTCTGTTTGGCCCTTATAGCCTAGATCCAACCTGTATGACCAGCCTCCTTATAGGTTCCAAAAATATTGGTACATTAAAACTGTACCAAGACTTTTGGGACATCTGTACATTGCTTTCCCTCCCACATTCTGTATAATTCAGCCAAACTGACCATCTTTCTATTCCTCACACACAGTACTACATCCACCATCGCCAGTGACTCTGGGTGAGGGGATGCCAGGTGGTGCAAAAATAATGATATCAAAGTAACACCTTTGTAACAACACCAATAAAGAGGTATCCTTTGGCATCAAAGGACTCTGGTTCAAACCAGACTTGCCACTTACTACTTGTCTGAACTTAGACAAATCTCTTAGATTTAGTTTCTTCATCTAGGAGATAAGAAGATTGAATTTTGACCTTAGAGAAGAAGAAAGGTACTTCTCCTTTTGGTTGGAAGGGTGAACTATAAGCTAGGGGTGAGAGACTTCGTAGTGGAATACTGTATACTCTCTCAGATGCAATCACTGAGTAGGTTGTTTTGCTGAACTGATTTTCAATGTTACAAAGGAAAGCACTCTTTGGGGGAGAAAGGGTAAGTCTGAAGATGGTTGTGATGTCAAAACAAAAGGCTTCAATAAAACTTAAAAACAAAAAGAAACAGACAATGAGGATTTTGGACTAGATGCCCTCTAAGGTTCAGGTCTAGAGTTATGATCTCATGAGATGTGAGTTGGGGTGGGAGAGGGGTAGACAGGTGGGATGATTAAGAAGTCAGTCTCCCTATTGAGGTTACTCAACACATTTCTGCATTGGGCCCAGGGATGCTCAACAGAACTGGGACTCTCCCAGTCTGAGGCAGAGAAATGGACATATACACATTGGAGGGGCTGACTGGTGCCTGATCTTCAGTTTCACACATCTCCCCCCACCACACACACACACACACACACACACACACACACACACACACACATGCTTTGTGCCCTCCTGTGCATATCCACACATTTGGCTTAAGTTTTCTTGTGGGTGGAGAGGAATAAGTGACTCTAATGCCCCTAGAGCAGAAACTCATCCCAGGAACCTGGTATCCCTTCCTCTTCCTGCCAGAGACCCCATCCCCAGCCCTACAAGGTCTAGTCACATCTTCTACTGCTCCCTTTCCTTCACCTGGAAGGGAGGCATCATGCCAGCATGGCCCTCCCTTCTTCTGCCAAGAGTTTGTAAGAACATGATCTGTAGTCAGAGGTCTTGGGTTCTAAGACAGATTTTATTACTATTTATGTGATCTGGTAGAAATCCCTTTGCCTTTCACACTTCTCAGTTCCTCCTATGTAAAAAGAGTTAGGAAGGGGTTGGACAGATCATCTCTAAAAGCCCTTTCACTTTTAGTTTCTCCTCTGCCAAATGGGGTGAGGGAGGTGCCTCCGAGGCTCATCAGATCCTCTCCACCACCTCAACTTGGGTACAACCTTTGGCTTATCCCAGTGAAGGGGAATGGGCTGTTTGGGGAAGGGGAGGAGAGTCAGGAAGTAATCAGAAAGTTGGGAGTCTAAGGTGATACAGATAGTAATCTCTTCTAATCTCCTGCTCAAAATAACCCAAAGTCAAGTAAAGGAGGGATTACAGGGCCTAAAGAACTGTTATCAGAGGCTGCCTCAGACTTGGGCTGTTGGGGAGGGGGGAGACATGAGAGCTCCTTGAGAATGCCTTGTCTCTAAGCCTAGTGTTCATCCTTTCTTCTTTCCTTTCCCTCCCATGCCCTTTCCCATCCTTACTTCTTGGATGGGGCAATGGCTAGCTCTCTTAGAGACCCCTTCTTTCCTTGCTTGTACCAATGTGGGAGCTGATCTGTCTGGGCAACGATATATTCAAAGTCTGATATCACATGGGTATGCAGGTGCAGCAATGCAAATTTGCTTGCCCATAAATACATGTAGATCTGATGTGTACATATTCATGTATGCAGGTCTGCATGTGTAAGTATACAAAATTGTGAGAGTGCAAATGTGAGTGTTTGCAGGTCCATAATTGTATATTTGTGGATGCAATGCTTCACCTGAAGGGTTCCATTTCCCCCTAACTTACCTGCTTGTTCTCCATTCTGCTTCCCTCCCCACTCTTCTCATCTTTCCCTTGTGCCAATCTAGGAATATTTGTTTGTGATGCCTTCAGTCTTGTGCCAGACAGACCCACCAACCTGGCTCTTTCAGTAGGATAGGCAGGGGAGGAAGGGGGCTCTGAGCACCCAGGGAGAAGAAGACAGGAAAGGGACAGGGATGGGAGCAGGCTCATTCACTTTAATGGATTAAGCCCCTGATTCCACTGCTGAAGGAGACCTTGCCAGTTTAATAAGCTCTGGCTCGTGGGCTCTATCAAAGACCTGGCAGGCTCCCCATCCCCTAGATGAAGCCACTAAAGAGGATTCCAACTCTTCACCTTTGTTTTCTATTTATCTCCAGTAACCCAAGGTGACTTGGTAATTGCACTGAGGAGAAGAAGGATCCAAGAGACTGGGGTGGGAGGAAGGAAGAGGAGATATTTCCCATTCCCCCAGTGGGCCGCCTGCCCTCACTGAAGGTGGGATCCAGCGGGGGGGGGGTGGCTCTCTAGCCTGTCCTGGGGGCAGACAATCTTCACTGGCTATTCACCCAGCACTCACTGTTACAGGCCTGGAATGGCAGTTTCAGTCTTGTATATGGTTGCACCTGCTGAGGATCTGGGCATCTGGCCATAGCAATCACGAGTGTTGTCCTGATTCTGACACCCTAATGTGGACCTGTCGAGGGGAAGGAGAACAGGATGTGCTTATGGTAAAGGGAGACAATGCACATGCCCCTCATCAGGTGAGCTCTCCTCCTCCTCATAGAGCCATAGCATGTTTGCACTAGAAGGGACCTTAGCAGTCATCTAGTGCAAATCCCTCATTTTACTGAGGAGGAAACAGGACTCAGAGAGGGGAAATAATTGGTCCAAGGTCACACAGTGAATTAGTGGCAGAACCAGGACCATAACATGGATCTCTTGACTCACAGACCAGCAATATTTCCATTCTGGCCTTTAATCCCTTTGGAACTCTGTGCAGGCCAACTTCAAAGATGGCATGAGTGAAAACACTGCAGCTATTTGGAGTGAATGAGCTTTGGATTTCAGCTTCTTTCCTTCCAAGTCCATTAGAATTGGTTTCATCAGTTGCCACAGTAAAAGTTTTCAAAGCTCAGCTCAGACAGTACATCCTGAAGGAACCCTTCTCTGAACACCCCAGCTAGAGCTCATATCCACCTCCTCTGAGCTCTCTGAGCACTTTCTGAAGGATGGGGGGAGGCAGTAGTAGTATAGTAGAAATAGAACTGATTTTGTAGCCAATGGGCATGAGTTCACATCTCATTCCTAATGCTTTCTACCTCTGTTGATTTGGGCAAGTCACTGAGACTCCCTGAACCCCATTTTCTTGATATGTAAAATGAGGGATTGGACTAAATCAGAGACTTTTTTTATTTTTAAATACTTTTATTTTTCCCCAATTACATGTAAAAACAATTTTAACATTATTTTTTTACTTTCAAATTCTATCCCTCCTTCCTCTCAATCTTCCATGAAATGGTAAGCAATCTAAATAAGAGACTTTTAACTCTATTGGGATTAACCCCACATAGGGGTTAAAAGACACTTAACCCCACATGGATTGATTTCAGAGGATGTGTGTGGACTTTGATGAACAAAGAATTACATCTTTATTTCAATATAATTCATTTCCTTTGTAATCTATGTATTTTATTTTTTTGCTTTTAAAAATATTATTCCCAGAAGAATTTTGCAGATTTCTGGCCTTCATAACTACTAAAGGGAACTATGATACAAAAGGGTTAAGAAGCCTTGGATTAGATGGTCTCTGATCCTTTCTAGCTCAAGTTCCATAAACCTGTGAACCTATGAATTAATGAATGACTGAGTTGAGTTCACTGGTTGGTGCTGAAGGGACAGCTCCCCTGCACAGTAAGTATTCCTCATGGGGCCCAAACTTCCTCGTCTCTACAATGGAGGAAATCATACTTGGACTATCTAAAGTATAGGGTTGCATGAGGAAAATGCTTCCTCAATCCTAAAGCACTATACAAATGTCAGTTATTGTTACTGGTCTCCATGATACCTCAATCTCAGGATGTCCTTAACAATGTCCTGCGTAAGAGTAGCATATCCCACTTTTATCATGTATTATAACTCTTTGTATAAGCATCTCATCATCTTACTAGACTGAATTACAGAAGGGCCAGGACTGTGTCTTATCTAAACTTTGCATCTCCTTTATCTCCTAAATGAGTGCTCTGCATGCAGCAGGAAATAAATATTTGTTGAAAGAATGTTGTTAAAATGCTTAATAAAAGACTTTTTACTAGTGTAAAGATCCTACTTCTTTACTATTTATATCTCTTATGTTTATTCCCACCTTCACTTCTTTGCTTGTACTGGTCCTCTTGTATGAGATGCCATCCCTACACTCAATCCCAACTTCTTAATCTTGCCCATCCTTCAAGACCAAGATCTAGTCCCACATCCTTCAAGAAGTCTTGATTGTCACCAGAATACTATATGTTGAGTTTCTATAGCTTTGGACAGTTGTGCCATCCAAGTCATCACATTATTCATCTACTGCCTGGTATTTTAATTTAATGGTTTTATGTCAGTTCATTTTCCCTCTCCAGTTGGACTGTGGGATCTTTCAGAGCCTTATGAAGGAGGGAATATATTACACTTTCTCTGTCATCTCTGAAGAATACTTCCCTCTTGAACTTGCAGAGGTGGCGGACTATGGGTATGTAATGTTGCGTATGTAATGTTGCTTGTACTGCCAGATATGTTTGATGTGTTGGTTAATTTTATTGAATTGCTTTTTTTGTCATTCTTTTCTATAAGGAATGACTCTGTAGAGAAACAGGGGAGGTGCATATTTAAAATAAAGGTAATATAAAAAAAAGATGTCCATAAATTTCTTTTTTTTTTTTTTGCTAGGCAATGGGGTTAAGTGACTTGCCCAGGGTCACACAGCTAGGCCGGATTTGAACTCAGGTCCTCCTGAATCCAGGGCCAGTGCTTTATCCACTGCACCACCTAGCTGCCCCACACAAATTTCTTTTTACAATCCCTGAAGTGAATGGCACAGAATTTGGCACACAGTAGGTACTCAGTACTTGATAACATAAATTAGTAGGTGAAACAGTATGTGCTTCCCAATGAAATGTATTGAATCTGAAAGTCTTCTGTCATTTCTTAGATTCCAAATTCACTTTCATTTAATCCTAGAATGTCAGACCTGTAAGGGACTTCAAAGATCTAGCCTAGGGGTATAGGTAGCATGAGCTAAGAACGGTTTTTACATTTTAAAATAAAAATCAAAATTTATTTAAACATGCAAAAATCATTCTTAGTTCATGGACTGAGACTGATTTGACTTTTGGGCCATAGATTGCTGACCCTTGATCTAATCCAATCCCTCACTTTTCAGGTAAGGAAACTAAAGTTCAGAGAAGGTCATAGGATCATAGGTTTAGCATGAGAAGGGACCTTAGTGGTTATATAGTTCAATCCTATCAGATGTTCCTTTTTTTCCTTTTTTTCTTTTTTTTGGGGGGAGTTAGGCAGTGGGGTTAAGTGACTTGCCCAGGGTCACACAGCTAGTAAGTGTTAAGTGTCTGAGGCTGGATTTGAACTCAGGTCTTCCTGACTCCAGGGCTAGTACTCTATCCACTGTACCACCTAGCTGCCTCAGATGTTCATTTAATAGATGAGACCTTAAGAGAGTTAAGTGAGTGGTCCAAGGTCAAGTGGGTAGGAAATAGCGGATTCAGGATGAGAATATTGATTCCAAATCCAGTGTTCTTAGGATGAGAGGTTGGCCCAAGATCACATGGCTACCTTGTGGCAGACTTCTATTTATTTTTTATGATTTCAACTAAACTCTAGCTCCTGTCCTTTCTACTCCACAGCCACCACCTTAGTTCACCTGCTAATCATTTTCCACTTGAATTATTGCAGTAGTCTCCTAATTGGTCTCCTGGTTCCAGTCTCTTTCCTCTCTAATCCATTCTCCAGATAACTATCAAAATAATCCTCAGTTTACTCAACTATAAGATAAGTGGGTTGGATTTGATGGAATCGAAGTCCTTCCTGGGTAGCCAGGGCCACGGCCAGGCCTGGAGTCAGGAAGATCTGAGTTCAAATTCAGCCTCAGAGATTTACCAGTGACCCTGGGCAAATCATTTAACCCTGTTTGCCCCAGTTTCCTCATCTGTGAAGTGAGATAGAGAAGGAAATGGCAAACCATTCCAGTATCTTTGCCAAGAAAACCCCAAATGGGATCACGAAGAGTTGGACATAACTGAAAGCAACTGAACAACAACAAAAGGTCCCTTCCAACTATGATTCTATGAAAAGCACCCTTTTGAAATTACTAATCCACTGCACCTCCACAAATCATCTTTTGAATAAATATATTTTCATAGATTTAATTTTCTTAGAAAAGGGTATGCCTTTATAGGTAGGTAGGTGCCAAAATGGTCTGCTTGTTGTTGGGAAGATCCTGGCCAGGAGTAGGGATTGGGGAGAGGGATGATAGAAACTGGAAAACTATGCTGGTAGGAAAAGGGGAATCAGAATTGCTGTTCCCAGACAGGCAGCTATGTTATTAATATTGCTATTGTTATCAATATTATAGGGATTAGAGAATGGACCTGGGATTTCATTGGTGTAGGGAACTCCTGGATGAGATACCTGCTCTGCAGTTCCTAAGCGTAGAGAGTTGCTAGAGCACTGAGAAATTTAGTAACTTCCCCAAAGTCACACAGGCAGTATATGTCAGAGGAGGACTTGAATCCAGGTCTTTCAGGCTTCAAGGCCAACTCCTTTGGCCTTGAATTTTATTTTTATCTGCTAAAGTCATTCTTAGATGTCTCAGGTAGTGTAGGGATTACTGCAGTTTCTTTGAATGGAAACTCTGTCAGGTAATACTTAGCTGGGAAGGTTTTGAATACAGGCTCAAAGTTGCACCAGGACTGCCCCAGCTAGTTGGAGAATTTCATCTTATATAAGATCATAGATCTAGCACTGTCCTTTGACAGATGAGGAAACTGAGGCTCATAGGGGTTGTTGTTCAAGCTGACATGGATAGTAAATGAAAGAATTTGTATTCAAATTAATTTCCTTTAATTCCAAATCCAATTCTCTTTCCACAATACCATTCTGCCCCAACATCCATTTGTTTGGTGGGTTTTTGTGTGTGTGTGTGTGTGTGTGTGTGTGTGTGTGTGTGTGTGCGCAAGGCATTGTGCTAGAAATACAAAACAAAAAATAGAACCTGACCTCAATGAGAATACATTCTGGGGTAGGGTGGTGGTGGTGGTGGCAGTGCTGAATTTTTTTTTTTCAAGAGCAACTCTTAAAGCTTCTCTACTTGGTCGTAAAGGGGTTGTAATCTATGTCAGTGGTAAGAGGACCCACATTGATAATAAAATACTGGCTCTTGGAAGTAATGAAATCATAATAACACCTTACATTTACCCAATACTTTTAACTTTTCAAGATGTTCCTACCTCTATGATCTCATTTGATATTGCACAGACTCCTAAGAGAAATTCACAGCCAATAAAGATTCTTCAGCTCAATAATCTGCACAGGAAAAACCAAATAAATGGATGGAGAATGCCAGCTGTACTGACTCTGATATTACACTTGGTTGGGCAGCCCACTGGGCTGGTCCATCACTTCTTATATCATGGACAGACGCTGTAGGGTTCCAGAATTGAATGGGAGGAAAAGAAAAGGATGAGTTTCATTGGTGAAATTATGCTGGGTTTTCAACCACACTGATCTCCCTGAAACAAAAGCCCATCTCTTTTTTAAAAAATCACCAATATTTTTCCAGCAGCGTTATATGATTATGAATCACGGAATACCACATTCTCCGAGGAATAAAAGCAGCAAGTCACTCAAAGGGTAATGGAGAGATGCATGCTGAGTATAAATAGGTTGCAACATATTAGCAATGATGAACTGAACATAACAAGAAATAGTGTAAAAAACATATGCATTTATATGTGTGTATATATGGAGGGGAGGGTATCAAGAGTGAAAGATCACGGATGGATAGACTGACCTTGTGCTACAGGGAAGCCCAGGTAATATTTTTGGGACTTTTTTAAAAATACATGCAATGTTAGAAGACCTAAAGCAGGGGTTCTTAACCTGGAGTCCATGAATTTAAACATATACACACACACACACACACACACACACACACACACACACACACACACACACACACACATATATATGGATATGGATATTTGTTTCCTTTATAATCCTATGTATTTTACTTTTTGCATTTGAAAACATTTGTCCACAGGCCTTACCAGACTGCCCAAGGTGTCTACGTTACAAAAAAAGGTTAAGAACTCTTGACCTAGAAGAAAACTACCAAGAGGCTGGCTGGAACATGGACCCCCTCAGGAGGATTTATTGGAATACGTGGACAAGTCACACAAGGAGAGAAGACTTGATATCTTTAGGGTTCCACCATTGCAGGAAGCTCCCAAATTAATGTGTGCAAAAACTGGCTGTCTTGTGTATTTACATCCCCAGCACCTACCACAATGCCTGCCACCTGGTAGGTGTTTTGTTGATTGATTTCTTCATTGATGAAACCACTGATTCATTAAAGTATTGAAATAAGATCTCATCTGATTCTCATATCAGCACCACAATGTAGGCTGTCTATATGATCATCATTTTATAAATGAGGAAGCTGAGGCCCCAGAGTATTTACTCTGTGAGCCCAGGTCACTTCATTCCTAGTCTGAGGACCATTCTGATCCTCTCACCAAGACTTCTAGAGTGTTCTCAGACCCAGTTCTTCTCCTATCCCCACTCCAGGCTCTCCTTATCTTTCCTTTATTAGCATTCTTCTCTGGGTCTTAGTTGCCTCAGCCATAAAATAAGAGCATTGGACTCTATGACCTCTAAGGTCCTTTTCAGTTCTAAAAATTCTATGATACCATGGCTTCCAGGATCCCCGGCCAAATCTTCTTCCTCACAGGCTTTTTGAATAACTTCTTGAACAGTTGTCATTTGTGTTCCCTCAATCTTGCCTCCCTACCCCAATCCCAGGGTCACTGAGCTTCCCCAGGACAATGAAGGCATCAGTGTGTTTGTGCCCCGAAACTGGCTTCATTCTGTCACATTAACTTTCCAGCTTGCGTCGCTCTTAATGAAATAAAGAAATATGACGGTTCCAGACTTTTAAACTTCTTATGACCTGATTTGCATAATAGGCATTGCTGCTCTGAGGTGGAGGAGGATCTGTCTAAAAATATTGTTTCTCTCCTCAATCACTCAGCCCTAACGGGAGGCACCAATTGGCCCTGGGGCCAAGGGCCGGGCTGGGGTTTTTGCTGATGGAATGAACTTTACCAAGCATCATCGCACAGCTAGAGTAAAGAGAATTAGGCTGCAGGCCAATATTGTTTGGGTGGGGGAATTGGTTAAAAGTTATAGATCAATAGCTTTTTTGCTGTTTCAATGTTTTGCCAATAGATCATGTTTACTGCTAATATTTCTGTGTTTTCCTCAGGGGCCTGTTCCTCCCCCAACATGGTGAATTCAGCAGTGGATCCTGAAATGGAGACATAGTAGGAGGGCCTGGAGCCACTGAAAACACTACACTAAGTGCAGCAAGGGAAGGCAGAGAGGAGACCCTCTGATTCTCAGCAGCATCTCTGGCCTTAGCAAGGTAGGGGAATAAGAGACAGAGCAGTAGAGAAAAAAAAAAAAGCAGACAACTGAGAGTTAAGTCCTGTGTTTGAGAACCTGTTTTTTCAGGAACTCTTTGAGTGACCTTTGGTGAGTCTCATAACCTTTGGAAGCATCAGTTTACTCATTTGTCAAAAGAATGTAAGAAAGTGAAAGGACCATGGGATTTGGAGTTTGTAGAACAAGGTTTGAATCCTGGCTACAGGTTATGAGTTGTGTGACCTTCGACTAAATAACTGACCTCTCTCATGTGTAAAATAAGGTAATTGGACTAAATTATTTCTAAGGTCCCTTCCAACTTGAAAACCCTATGCCCCCATCTTGCTTATCACATAGGAATGTTATGAGGATAAAATGAGACCATATTTGAAAGTACTATATGTCAGGTGGAAAAACAATATTGCTGCCCTCTCCATAAAACCTTCCCTGAACCGCCAAGTCAGAAGTCAGCTCTCTCTCCTTGAGTATCTCTCTACTCTAAAATATCTGTCACAAGCTAGGGAGACAGTATGGTATTGTGAGGAGAGTTCTTGACTCAGCATCAGGAAACCTTTGTTCAAATCTTACCATTAACACTTATTAGCAGCATGGTCACAGGCCAGTTAACCTCCATGGGAAGTGTTGGATTTAGAGTAAAAGGGCCTCTCTTCAAATCCTGGCTCAGCTATTTATTAGCTATGCAACGTTAGGCAAGTCATCTAACCTCTCTGGGCTTCAGTTTCCTCATCTGTAAAATGGGGCCAATATCTAAAGGGCCCAAGATTAAATGAGCTGATGTATGAAAAGCATTTTGAGACTCTTAAAGCTCCATCAATTATTGTGATTATTCTTTCTACAAGTTGTCTAGGAAATTTATGATTAGAAAAGTTCACAAGAGATGAACAACCCTAGTGATAAAAGATTATAGCAAAATAAGCAGAAGGTCACTGGAGTATTGGGTAGATACTCTGTGAAGTGAAGATGAGATCAGGAAGTGCAGAGAAGAACAAAAGGGAGAGTTGTGATCAGTACCGGTGGAGTGAGTACCCACACCAGTGATTTCCTACTATCTAAGTAAATCTCCTCTCCATACAAGACTGTAAACTCCTCGAGGGTAGAGACTATATCCTCTTTATTTTTGTATCCCCAAGGCCTAGCTCAGAATCTTTATATGGACTAGATGGTTAATAAATGCTTAAAGAATCAGCAAATGCTTTCTGAATGAATTTCCCCCAGATTTTGGCTCTTGGATTCAAGACTTAAATTTGGATTTAGCCCAACTATAAAATGTGGCCTGAATACTGCTTCCACAGCCTTCCCAGCAGAGGGCCCATCTTTTTGGCCCTATTGGAATGGTGCTCCCCAGACAATTAGCCCTGTTCCCAAAAGATGCAGGGGATGGAAGCATTTTGTGGCACAGTAGATAGAGCACTAAGCCTGGAAGTCAGGAAGTCATGAGTTCTAACACAGCCTGGCAAGTCACCTCACTTCTCTCGGCCTCAGTTTCCTCAACTGTAAAAATGGGGAAATTAACAGCATCTACCTCCCAGGGTTGTTGTGAAGATAAAATGACATATTTCTAAAAGCACTTAGCATGGTGCCTGGCACAGGGTAGGCACTGTATAAATGTTTATTCTTAAAAAAGAGGACTAGTGAGGCAGCTAGGTGGCACAGTGGATAGAGCACTGGCCCTGGAGTCAGGAGGACCTGAGTTCAAATCCTGCCTCAGACACTTAACACTCACTAGCTGTGTGACCCTGGGCAAGTCACTTAACTCCATTGCCTAGATTAAAAAAAAAAGAAAAGAAAAAAAAAAGGGACTAGGCTTGGAGTTTTGAATCTCAGCTCCAGCACTGTGACTATGAGCAAGTCACTTGATTTTTCTTAGCCTTTGTTTCCTCACCTAGAAAATGGGTATAATAATACTGATATTACCTACTTATAGGCCTGTTGAGGAAAATTCTTTTTAAACTTTAAGACTATTGTTATTATAATTATTAGAGTTAGCTGATATCAGCCAGACAGCTGGGACTATTGGAAATTTCATCAACTATCCTCTTCTCTTTCCCAAGTTCCAAGCCCCCCAAAACACTCCATCTCCCAGAGGGATGATGAGTACTTTTTAAAATGTTTGATCCTATATCCCCTGGGTTTGAAGCTGGGACTCAGGGGAGACTGTCCCCTGGGCTCTGGGAACTGCTCTTAGCTGAAGGGGAGGGAGAGGTAGGAGGGGCTCAAGGCTGTGAGCTCCCTGCTGCCAGGCTCCCAAAGCCATCTGTCACCCCTCCTCCCCAAGCTGCCTCTCCCTCTTCATATCTATCCATAAAACCTTGGCTTGATGCTCCCGGCAAGCCAGAGGGGTTGGCACACCGGGCAGTGCTGACTTGGCAGAAAAGGCCTTGATGAAAGGGCTGGCTGGGTGCTTCTCTATGGTCCCAGGCACCAGGGGGCTGGGGTTGGCCAGGAACACTGACCTCGGCTGGCCCTGACCTTGCCCCCTGGGATTGGCAGGAGAATGGGAGGGGCCTGGAGGTGGCCAGATGGAGGAGGGATGGGGGAAAAGCTTGGCAGATGGAGGATTCCTGGGGGGTTGGGGGAAGTGCCCTCATGTCTCGATTGCCACTTCCCCCACCAACCCCAAGTGATTAGAGGTCCCCCTACCTTGCCATCAGGCATTTTGGTGATGAGAGCCTGAGAGGCAGGGACTTGTGGCCTGCCACAGCTGATACCGGGGGGAAGGGGGTTCCTTGTGTATAGCAGAAATGAGATGGAGATTAGCCTTGGATCCTAACTCTGTTAGTGCTGGCTGTTTGATCTCCCCCAAGTCATTTCCTCACAACCATTTCATGGAGGAAGAAAACTGAGGCTCTGTCCAAGGTCACTTGGCTAGTCAGGGAAAGAGTTGTCACTAGACCCCAAGCTTCTTCTTTACTCCAGGATAATGGGTCTTTCCATCCCACCTTGCTAAATTTCCTTACTCAGACACCCGCCCCCCCAATGCCCATTCCCTACCCAGATTCTGGGAAGATCTAAGACATTGGGAAGAATTTCCAGGTGGTGGTCATCGGTGGTTTGAGGGTGTGGAAAGGCCCTTGTGACACTATAAAACAGTGGGGCAGAGGTGAAGCTCAGCTGTCTCCAGGATACTAATCCTGCCCCTTCCTCTCTTGTCTTTCCCTTCACAACAAGTCACCGGGTGAATGACCTCAGATCTATCCTTTGCATTGTGCCCTGGATCAGCACACCTGTGTTCTCTAGAACCAGCTCCTCCACCAACCTGCTGTGTGATCTGGGGCCAGTCATCTCTAGTCTCTGGCCTCAGCTTGTTCATCTGTGAAATGGGGATGGTAACAACTGCCCTCAGAAACTTGTTTTGAAGGATACAACCAGATAACAGGTAATGAATGCAGCATGTAGATAGCTGCCTTCCAACCTGACTCTGGGGAGGCTTGCTAGCAGTATTATGTTGTGATTATCTTGGGCCTTGGGTGATAGGTTGGCGTGACCAAGAAGAGATCTGGTGGTGCCTTCATTTGTGTGAATCCAGTGCCTGGTATTGGGAGAATAGGGAAGATACAGTCCAGAGACTATGTGAAGGTTGCGGGTTGAGGGTGGGTCTGCTATGGTTTCTAAAGTCTCTTGGATTTTATTGGTAAGATATTTATTGGGGGATTGGATTTTATTTATCAAAGAAGGTAAGAAATCTTCCAGGCCCAGGGCCAAAGCTCCTATCCACAGAGCTCTGGGGCCCAGCTTTGCTGTTAATTATGGACCAAAATATTTAATAGCCTGTTCTACTTCCACAGGGTATCTTTTTTAAATTAAAAAATATGATCTATGTCATCTGTTAGAGAGAGAAATCATTCTGCAATGGCTTTTGGCCCAGGCGTTGGCAGGGGGATATGGCAGGCCCAGAGAAGAGTGTAACTTTGGGTAGTCATGGGGGGGAGCAGGAAGCCAGAGAAGCTTTTGGGAAGCTTTGTGCTCATCTCATCCACCCCCCAGTGTCTAGGTGGGACAGCACACTTTAACCACACTGGACGTTAGGAGGGGGAAGGGACTAGAAAATTCCCAGGGGTCTATCACGCTATAAAATGAAGGGATTAAATCTAGACTCCAACAGACTGATGATGAGGCAGCAGCTAGGTGGCACATTGAAGAGAGCGCCTGCCCTATAGCCAAGAAGACTTGAGTTCAAATCCAGCCTCAGACATTTAGTAGTTAGTTGTGTGACCCAAGGTAAATCATTTTGCCTTGGCTATTTGTAAAGCACTTTCTGGGGGCACTCATATAAATGGTAGGGATACTGATATTGATGTGATCTCGGAGAGATGCAGAATGTGGCAGATGTTTTAAGAGATGATCAGTACGTAAGTTTGTTTTGCTCAACTTCCTTTGATAAAAGAGAAGGTTCTCTTGAGAGGAGGGACACTGGGAAAAAACAAGTAAACTTAAAAGGCAGAACTAGAAAACACCAAAAAAAAAAAGGAAAATAATTTGAATAAATAAGAGGGTTAGACTAAATGCTATCCCAAGTCCCTTCCATCTCTAAGACCGATGGCTGCATCTGGTATCTTATGACTCTGATGATTGGGAAGTTCTTTCCTTGGGGGACCCCAACTCCCTTCTGTCTCACTGTGAAAAATTGCTGCTTTGTTACCCTAAAGGGTAATAGTTAAAATAACAGCTGATACATATATGGTAGCCCTTTTAGGTTTGCAAAGCACTTTAACATGACCTCACTGGAGGCTTTGCAATGACCCCATGAGCTTGGTACCAGAGGCATTATCATTCCCATTCACAGATGAGGAAGCTGAGGCTCATAGAAGTGACTCAGCTTACTCAAATGAATACAGCTGGGAAGTGGCAGAATTCAAACTCAGGTCTCCAGGTCCAACTCTTTTTCCACTGTACCTAGTCTGGTGTTGTCCATTGCTCGGGCTATGTTGACTCAAGGTCACTGCAGATAAGTATAAGGCAAAACTCTGAAGCCAGGGACATTTCTTCAGCCCCCTCCCCTTTCCTTGTCCTTCCCACTAACCCAGGATGTAGGCTTAAGGTCCTTTTTTTTGGGGGGGGGAGGGTTAGGCAATGGGGTTTAGTGACTTGCCCAGGGTCACACAGCTAGTAAGTGTTATGTGTCTGAGGCCAGATTTGAACTCAGGACCTCTTGAATCCAGGGCTATCCACTTCACCACCTAGCTGCCCCTTCAAGGTCCTTCTTTTAACAGAGGAAAGGGATCTAAGCAACTCATCTGCATTGAAGTGGCAGGAATTAATGTAGAATCATGGGATTATAGACTTAGACCTTAGAGGCCACCTAGTTCAACCCCCCCCCCATTTTTATAGATGAAGACAACTGAGGCTCAGTGTTAGGTGACTTGACCAAGATCACTCAGCAAGTAAGTGGGAAAAGTGGGATTTGAACACAGGTCTTATGACTCCAGATCCAGCACACATCTACTATCACATTGCCTGTTTCCCCTTCCAGGATAATCTGCACTTTAAACTAGGACACAGAAAGAGGTTTAACCCAAGAACATGAATGGTGGAATTTCAGGCATCAGATGGGGGAATATTTTGTTTTTATTTTGGAGAGAGGCCTCCTATTAAATCGGATGATGGCAGTGACCCTCTGTGTAAAGCCAGTCTGGACTACTGACATCCTGTTCTCAACACCCTTATCTGCATGGGAGGCTAAAATGTGGGGCCTGAGAGTCAAACACCTTTTTGGAAATGAGATTTTTTATTTCTGGGAAGCCTCAGGCTTGGGTCCTCCAAGGTCCTACCCTCCAACACACACGGGCTGAAAACAGGGCCAAAGTAGATGAACGATCACTTTCAAAGAATTCCTTTGTTATACTCTCCTGATCACCTCGGTATATCTGAATCCTACCCCTTCTACCCTGATCTACTGTAGGAGTCTTCCCTTACTGCTCGAACCCATAGTTAGCTCTCCTCTCTAGACTACTTAGTTATTCTCTGTGTCAGCTAGATAGTGCAGGGGTACAGTGCTAGATTTGGACTCAGGAGGACCTGAGTTCAGATCTAGCCTTAGACATTACTAAGTCCATAACAGTAATAGAGTCACTTAAACTTTGCCTGCCTCAGTTTCCTCAACAGTAAAATGGGGTTTAATCATGACATCTACTTTCCAGAGTTATGAGGATCAAATGAGATAAAATTGCTTAGCATGGTGCCTAGCACATAGTAGGGATTTAATAAATCCTTCCTTCCTTCTTCTTTCCCTTGGCTCTTAATGTGAATACTACCTTTTTGAATTTCAGTCATTTCAGCTGTGTCAGACTCTTTGTGACCCCATTTGGGGTTTCCTTGGCAGAGATACTGGAGTGATTTGTCATTTCCTTTTCCACCTCATTTTACAAATGAGGAAACTGAAGCAAATGGGATTCAGTGACTTACCTAGGATCACACAGCTAGTAAGAATCTGAAGCCAGATTTGAACTCAGAAAGAAGAGTCTTCCTGACTCCAGGCCCAGCACTCTATCCGCTGCTCCACCTAGCTGCCCCAAATACCACCTGGCATTGTAATTACCATGTCATACATGCATTTCATATCCCCAGCTCAACTGTGAGCTCTTTGAGGGCAGGGACTGTCTATTTTTTTCTCCATAGCCCTTGGCATAGAGCTTAGCACTGTAATAAGCAATCATTGGCAGGAAAGAGGTAGGGGTTACCTCTTGCTTCTGGCTGCCCTCTGTGACCCCACCAGATGCTCTCCTCCTTTCTTCTAGGCATTAAACAGTAAAAAGCCCAGGACAGAAATAGCAAGGAATGGCGAAGAAGGGAGGTAGGAAGAGTTCTGAGCATGGGAAGTGTATTCCTTTGCAGAAGTCCTTAGCTCTGTTCTGCACCTTCTCTGGACTTTTCACTCCAAGTCTTGGGGAGACTCCCACTCTGCTGCAGTCTAATGGAAGGATCCTTGGCCTTGCAGTCAGAAAACTGAAATGGAATTTTGCCTCGGCTCTGGCAGCTTTGTTACCTTGGGCAGGTCACATAACCTCTCTAGGCCTCAGTTTCTCTATAAATGAGGCTTATATTGTCTAAACTATAGTAGGTGGTCTCTAGGATACCTCCTGGTTCTATGAGTGTATGACTCTGGGACAGGGGTTCTTAAAATGGGATCTGTGACCTTTTTAAAAAATATATTTTGATAACTATTTCAATATAATTGGTTTTCTTCATAATTTTAATGTGTTTTATTTTGTGCATTTAGAAACATTATTCTGAAAAGGGGTCCATAGGTTTTACTAGACTGCAAAAGAAGTTGATGACACCAAGAAAGGCTTAAGAACCTATGGTCTAGGAGGTACCGAATTATCCCCCTCACTGCATGGTAATTAGTCCACGTCAGGGGCTGAGCTCTGAGTCTTTGCCTCAGCCATCGTCTCTGCCAGCTGGGGTGATCTGGGTTTCACTTGGTGAACTAGATGCCTGGCCCTCCTGCACCTGTATTCTCCATCCAATGTTCTCTGGCTACCCATTGTTGGATTTAGGGTGATCATTACAAGCCAGGGGTCCTTTGAAAGCTCAGAGTGTGTCATTCCCTACTTTGTCTATGCAATGCTTTTTGCCTGTGGCCTGCATGGGATGAAATGCCCATCATTAGCTCACAATGATGTTGATGATTTAAGGTCAGGTTTGATGGGTTGCCTGAATGTGCACTGGGGGTTCTGGCCTCCGAGCCCCGATGATGAGTAATGGTCCTAACCTTTGCACAAGGTCTCCGAACCCGGACATATGCTCAGATCAGATTTATCGTGCTGACATTTACAGAGATATTTTGGCTGTGAGCTTTTTTGGAAGGGGACTCTGCTTTTTCTGGCATTTGCCAAGCACCTGGGGCTCGAAGGGGAGAAGGGACAGTAAGTTTGAAGGCTAATGAATGAACCTGGAGGTTCCAGCCCCTTTTAAGAAAAAGGGGCTTCATAGTGTATTGAGAAGTCAGAAGACCTGTGTTCTAATACTGGATCTTCTACTAATGTGTGATGTTAGGCAAATCACTTTACTTGGGGCAGCTAAGTGGTGCAGTGGATAGAGCACTGGCCCTAGAGTCAGAAGGATCTGAGTTCAAATCTGGCCTTAGACACTTGACACTAGCTGTGTGATCCTAGGTAAGTCACTTAACCCCGATTGCTACATTGCCCCCCTCCCCACCAAACCACTTTACTTTTCTGGGATTCGATTTCATCATCTGTCCCATGATGGGGGTTGTTCTGGGTGGTCTTTAGGGATACTTCTTGCTCCAACAT